ACAGTGAAGCAAAAAGAAATCCAAAACTATTCCTAATCTCATCACCCAGATATCACACATGTTAATAACTCATTGAGTATCCTGATTTTTTTTTGTAAGTTTATTTATTTATTTTGAAAGAGAGAATCCCAGGCAGGCTCTGCACTGTCAGCACAGAGCCGATACGGGGCTCGAACTCATGAAAACTCTGAGATCATGACCTAAGCTCAAGTTTGGACATGTAACTGACTGAGCCTCCTGGGTGCTCCCTCCTGTTTTTTTTTTTTTTTAATAAATATTTTAAGTTAAAGTGGAGTCCTGTTATACAAAATGTTTTGTAATATGCTTTTTTTTTTTTTTCTCTTCACGATGTCTTGGGCACCCCATCCATATTAATACGTATATACTTGGACCTGTCATGTAAATGGGGGACGGGTGTTCCACTTTATAGATCTCACTTAGTTCACTGATTTCTCATTTTAGGGTCTTCATGGTTTTGACCATGCTAAATGCTGATGGGAACATCCCAAATGTTAGTGTATGTCCTTAATTATTTCCTGAGGCCAAATTCCTGGAAGTGGAATTGCTGGGTCAGGGGCCACATTTAATGTTTGCTGGTTTGTCCTCCAGAGCCTATGTGATTTACTAGTTCTGTACCTCAGGCTCAGACTGCTGGGTTGAAGCTTTTAAAATGGAAAGCTTGGGGCGCCTGGGTGGCGCCGGTCGATTAGCGTCGACTTCAGCCAGTCCGCGATCTGTGATCCGTGAGTTGAGCCCCAGCGTCCAGGCTCTGGGCTGATGGCTTCCGGGCCTGGAGCCTGTTTCGATTCTGTGTCTCCCTCTCTCTCTGCCCCTCCCGTTCATATACTGTCTCTCTCTGTCCCAAAAATAAATAAAAAACGTTGAAAAAAAAAAAATTTTAAATGGAAAGCTCGTTTTTTTATACTTTTAAAGTAAGCGTGCTCATGAGTAGTGAATTTAGAAACGAAGGAAGATTAGGAAGATGGAAGATTATTTTTGAGAGAGAGAGAGAGGAATGACATGGTGAGGGGAGGGAGAAGAAAAGAGGAAGACACAAACGAAAACTCAGGCTCTGACTGGCAACGACTTGTTTCTGAGCGAACAAGAACCATGGTCCTTGACCTGAGTGGAAATCAAGAGTTGGGCACTTAACTGGCTGAGCCCCCCTTTTTGCTTAATCTTTTATCTTTAAAATATTTTTTCCATTCTTCTTGAGATAAAATTGACATATAACATTATGTAAGTTTAAGGTGTGCTACATAATGATTTGAATTATGTGTATATTGTGTGTAATACCACAGTAAGTTAACATCTATCACCTCTCATAGTTACAAACTTTTTCCTTGTTAAATAGCTTTTTTTTGTTTGTTTATTAGAGAGAGAGAGAGAGAGAGAGAGAGATTGAACACAAGCAGGGGAGGAGCAGAGAGAATCCCAGGTAGTCCTTGTGTTGTCAGTGCAGAGCTCCACATGGGGCTCTATCTCATGACCCATGAGATCGTGACCTGAGTGGAAATCAAGAGTCGGACACTTAAATGACTGAGCCCCACAGGTGCCCTTAAATAGCTTTTTATCAATGATTTAATAACTTCTTTGTGCCTTTCCATGAACCTGTAAAAGTGCATAAACAAATAAGGTCTGAAAAATATTTTAAAATATAAAACTTGTCTTAAATCCTCAATAATAGCAATATGGTGTGGAAATCCTCCTATAACTTATGAATGTGCAGGGACACCTCATTTTATTGTTTTACTGTATTGAATTTCGCAAATGCTGCATTTTTTTTTTTACAGATTGAAGGTTTCTGCTTCAAGCAAATCTGTTGATGCCATTTTTGTAACAGCATTTGCTCACTTTGTGTCTCTGGGTCACATTTTACTTTTAGTTTTTATTTATTTATTTATTTTGAGAGAGAGAATATACAAGCTGGGGAGGGGCAGAGAGAAGGAGAGACAGAGTCCCAAGCAGGTTCTATGCCACCAGCAGAGAGCCCAATGTGGGGCTCAAACTCACAAACTGTGAAATCATGACCTGAGCTGAGATCAAGAGTGGGATGCTTAACCAACTGCACCACCCAGGTGCCCCTTGGGTCACATTTTAGTAGTTCTCACAGTATTTCAAATTTTTTCATTACTGTCATACTTGTTATGGTTATCTATAGTTAGTGATTATGACTTGCTGGAAAGCCAGTTGATACCTTTTTTTTAGCAGAAAGTTTTTGTTTGTTTAAATAAGCTCTATGCTCAACATGGGGGTTGAACTCACAACCCTGAGATCATGCTAAACTGACTGAAGCAAGCAAGTACCCCGGTAAAGTTTTTTTTGTTTTTTTTTTTTTAATGTTTTAAATGTTTATTTACTTCTGAGAGAGAGAGACAGACTGCCCGCTGGGAGGTGAGGGGAGGTGGTGAGCAGAGAGAAAGGGAGACACAGATTCTGAAGCAGGCTCCAGGCTCCGAACCATCAGCACAGAGCCCAATGTGGGGCTCGAACCCACAAACTGCGAGATCATGACCTGAGCTGAAGTAGGACGCTTAACCGACTGAGCCACCCAGGCGCCCCTCCCAATAAAGTATTTTTTAATTTAGGTATATATATTGTTTTTTCCTTTTGTTTTGTTTTGTTTTGTTTTCAGAGAGAGAGCGAGCACTGGGGGAGGAGCAGAGGGAGCGGGAGAGAGAGAATCTTAAGCAGGCTCCGCTCCCAGTGCAGAGCCCAACTTCGGGCTCAGTGTCAAAACTGTGAGATCATGACCTGAACCAAGATCAAGAGTCCAACTCTTAACCAACTGAGCCGCCCAGGTGCCCCCATGTTGGTTTTTTTAGACATCATGCACACTTAATATACGACCACCGTATAGTGTAAATACAACTTTTATATGCACTGGGAAACGAAAAAATTCACTTGACTTGGTTTGTTGCGATCCTTTCCCGCAGCAGTCTGGAACTGCACCTGTGGTATCTCTGAGGTGTGCCTGTATAATGTATATATTGTCATGATTTCTTAAGTTATTTATTTTGAGAGCAAGCAGGGAAGGGGCAGAGAGAGAGGGAGAAAGTCAAGAGTCACACACTCAACTGATGGAGCCACTTAGGTACCCCCGTATTTTCATGATGTTAAAAAATCTATGGGGGCGCCTGGGTGGCTCAGTCGGTTAAGCGGCCGACTTCGGCTCAGGTCATGATTTCGTGGTCCGTGAGTTCGAGCCCCGCGTCGGGCTCTGTGCTGACAGACAGCTCAGAGCCTGGAGCCTGTTTCAGATTCTGTGTCTCCCGCTCTCTGACCCTCCCCATTCATGCTCTGTCTCTCTCTGTCTGAAAAATAAATAAACGTTAAAAAATAAAAAAATAAATAAATAATCTGTGAGGCGCCTGGGTGGCTCAGTTGGTTGGGCCTCCAACTTCGGCTCACGTCATGATCTCACGGTTGGTGGGTTCGAGCCCTACGCCGGGCTCTGTGCTGACAGCTCAGAGCCTGGACCCTGCTTCGGATTCTGTGTCTCCCTCTCTCTCTGCCCCTGCCCCACTTGTGTGCTCAAGCTCATGCTCTCCCTCTCTTTCTCTCTCAAAGAATAAAAAAACATATAAATGAAAATAATATAACCTATAGGCTTAAAAACAGCCAAACAATAAAACTTACAGGAAAATTAATAGAAATTTTAGGAATAAGCATTAAAAAAACTTCTGTAGGTTTTCTCACACTTCCCCATCCCAGAGTGTTAATAACTCTGAACAGATTTCTTCATAAGTGTAATCCTGCTATGTAAACTTGGATACGTAGACTTCTGCAGTGTGTTTTTAAATGTTAGCAAAATATCACAAACTTATTTCCACATCAGTAGAGAAACCTGCCTCATTCTTTCTGATCCAGTACTTGATAGTAGTGATATGCCTTAATCCATTTAACCATTCACACATTAATGGGTGTATTTGTTTCCTGTGGCTGCTGTTAACAATTTACTATAAACTTGGGGGGCTTAAAACACAGAAATTGATTTTCTCACAGTTCTGGATGCCAGAAGTCCAGGATCAAGGTGTCAACAGGGCCACATCCCCTCCAAAGGCTTTGGGGAGGAATGGTTCCTTTTCTCTCTGAACTTCTGGTGGCTCCTGGTGTTTCTTGGCTCGTAGACGCATCATTCAGTCCCTGCCTCTGTCTTCACATGGCTGTGTCCCCAGTGTGTCCCTGTCTCCTTCTCTTCGTCATAAGGATACCTTATATCTTATATGTTGTAAAGATATACTATGGTCCTTTCAAAAACTCGGCTATACCAATTATTTGTAAATACCAGCGTTTATGGCCATAACATAGCTAACTCCTCCCCCATTTACACTGTCTCCAGGTTTCTGTTACTGCAGATATGTTCTACCAAACACCTATGTCATACAAGCTTTCTCTGTTATTTGGGGTAATTTCCTTAGGAGAGAGTCCTAGGATTGGAAACATTTGTGCTGAAGACCAGAAGTATGTTTTAGGCCTTTGGATAAAAACTCCCAGACTCTTCTTCAGAAGGATGGTGCTGTCATTGTGGTTGTGACTTTTAAAAGTTGCTTCCCTGGTGAAGCTGTTGTCTGAGGTTTTTTCTGTGTGAAGAGAAGTGGAGCGAGTTGGGCATGCCCAGATTCAAAGGGTGAAGGTCAGGCTCTGGCCTCATTGCCTGCAGTACGCCCTTCCCCACCTGGGGCAAGTGCCTGCCTCTCCCTTAAGCACCTGTCTGCCTGGCTTGGAAAGCCCAAGAATGAGGTTGGAGAGCTGCCATGGCTCTCTGGTGGGGAGACTGCTGCCAGCAAGCCCCTCCCCAGCGCCCCCCACCTTGTCCTTAAGGAGCCTTCGCCTTTTTCTTACGCAGATGTGGGGCTGTTAAGGGCCCAGGGCAAGACCTTTCCAGGGTGGTGAGAATTCAGTGTACTTTTTGGTTGGAGTCCAGAGTCTGCATCCAGGGAAGTGAGGGTGCTTTACGGGGCAGGTTCCTAGTACTTGTTCTTTCATGAATTTCACAGGGAGTCAGAGTGGACACGAGAGACCACAGTGGAGCCACAGCCCGGATGCTGGCCAAGCAGTATGGACACATGAAGATCGTGGGGTTGATAGACGCTCACTCTCCTACTCTGCCCAAGAACCTCTATCGGAGCCCAGGTATCTGCTTCTGTGCCCTCTGCTGGAGTTCCGCAGGGGGGGATGGGAGAGGAGGGAGACTTCCCAGCCCCGGCCCCAGCTCCCACCTCTCCTCCCGAGATTTGGCTCTCGCAGCCTTGACAGGAGACCTCTGCTTTCCCTGTGACTCCACTGTACAGTCGAGGTTGAGGCTTGCTGGTCTGATAGGAGAGACGTTAGAATGTAGAATGGTTCCTGCCAGGCTGAAGGTGTGCCCAGGATGCCGGGGTGCCCAGGGAGAGGTGGCACGGCGGCCACACGAAGGGGATTGCTTACAGTTTCTTGACTTTGCTTGTGGTGCTTATTGCCATGTGAAATGTTTTAATTTTATGTAGTCAAGTTCAGTCTTGTACTGCCTTTAGATTTGGGGTCACAGAAGGTCTTTGTGCCTTGGTTGTGTATGAATTTGTCCGTTTTCTTCTGGTACTTCCATGGTTTCATTTTTTATATTCAGCTCTCTGATCCATTTATACTTTATTGTCATGCATGGTGTGACGTGTGGTTTTTTTCAGATGGCTTCCCCATTGTCTTGGCTTCATGAAATTATTCAACAGTCCATCTTTGACCTGGTGATCTGAGAAGCTATCTTTGTACTATATTCTGAATTTCTTTTTGTGTCCAGGTCTGTTTCTGGACCTCTGTTCTGTTCCCCAGGTCTGTCTGTTCATACAGCAGACCTCCGCTGTTGTAAATATGCAGAGGCTTTTTGCCTCTCGTCCGGCCAGTCTCCCCTGCAGCCTTTCCTTTTCAGTGTTCCCATAGCTATTGCTGTTTTGTGTGTGTGAACTTGAACACCAGCTTGTCTAGCTGCTTAAAAACAGCATGTTATTGAGATTGTGGCAAATTTATAAATGAACTACCCTTTCATGCTGTTGAGTCGGACTCTCTAGACAAGGGACATCTTTTGTGTCTATTGGAGGGTTTAAAATCTAGGGGCGCCTGGGTGGCGCAGTCGGTTAAGCGTCCGACTTCAGCCAGGTCATGATCTCGCGGTTCGTGAGTTCGAGCCCCGCGTCGGGCTCTGGGCTGATGGCTCGGAGCCTGGAGCCTGTTTCCGATTCTTTGTCTCCCTCTCTCTCTGCCCCTCCCCCGTTCATGCTCTGTCTCTCTCTGTCCCAAAAATAAATTAAAAAATGTTGAAAAAAAAATTTTAAATCTTTCCTCGTAGACATTTTGCATAGAACTTTTTATTCCCAAGTGTCTGATTTTCTTTGTTGCTTCTGTGGGTTGGGTTTCACTGCCATTTTACCCTCTGCTTACTGTCTGTGACTATGAAGGCTGTTGATGTCTGTACACCAGTTTTATATTCTGCTGAATTCTTTCATTTGAATTTATTGATTCTGTAGGGTCTTCTAGGTATGCTACCATATAATCTGTACATAGAGATAGATTTACTACTTCTTTTTGATTTTTGTACATCTGGTTTCTTTCATTCATTTACATTGGCTCCTAATTTGGTTAGGTGTTGAACAGAGTGGGGATAGTGGGCATTCACCAGGTCCTGACCTTAGCAGAAATGCCACCTTAGGTAAGACGCTGATTTTAAGAGTAAAGTGTGCATATATTTTATCATGTTGAGAAAGAGTTTGTCATTTTCTATATTCCTGAGTGTTGTTTACAGCCATCAGTGTTGAATTTTGTCAAAGGCTTTTTTAGCATCTGTGGAGATGATTATTAATTTTCTCCTTAAATCTAGTAATAGAGTATATTAATGAATTTCCTAATAACGAACCAACTTTACTTGCTGTGTAGAAATCCTATGTGGTATATTATTTCCTGAATGCAATATTGGATTTTGTTTGCTAGTATTTTATTTAGTGTTTCTGTATGGCTGTTCATTTATAAATGGTATTGGTCTGTGATTCTCTGTTTTGTCTTTATCAGGTGTAGGTATCAGTATTGTACTTCATACAAAGAATTTGAAAGTTTTCCTTTTTGTGCTCTGGGACAGTTTATGCAGTATTGGTACCCTGTGGTGGTGGGTTTTTTTTTTTAAGTTTTTAAATTTTTATTTTATTTTATCTTATTTTTTGCTGAAGAATTTATTTACTTTTTTTTTTTTTTTTTTTTTTTTTTTTTTTTTTTTTTACATTTACATCCAAATTAGTTAGGATATAGTGCAACAATGATTTCAGGAGTAGATTCCTTAGTGCCCCTTACCCATTTAGCCCATCACCCCCACAACCCCTTCCGTAACCCTCAGTTTGTTCTCCATATTTATGAGTCTCTTCTCTTTTGTTCCCCTCCCTATATTATATTATTTTTGTTTCCCTTCCCTTATGTTCATCTGGTTTGTCTCTTAAAGTCCTCATATGAGTGAAGTCATACGATTTTTGTCTTCTTCTGATTTTACTTAGCATAATACCCTCCATTTCCATCCATGTCATTGCAAATGGCAAGATTTCATTCTTTTTGATTGCCAAGTAATACTCCATCATAATATATATACCCCATCTTCTTTATCCATTCATCCATCGATGAACATTTGGGTTCTTTCCATACTTCAGCTATTGTTGATAGTGCTGCTATAAACATTGGGGTGCATGTGTCCCTTCGAAACAGCACACCTATATCCCTTGGATAAATGCCTAGTAGTGCCATTGCTGGGTCATAGGGTAGTTCTATTTTTTTTGAGGAACCTCCATACTGTTTGCCAGAGTGGCTGCACCAGCTTGCATTCCCTCCAACAATGCAAAAGAGATCCTCTTTCTCAGGATCCTCGCCAACATCTGTTGTTGCCTGAGTTGTTAACGTTAGCCATTCTGACAGGTGTTAAGGTGGTATCTCATTGTGGTTTTGATTTGTATTTCCCTGATGATGAGTGATGTTGCACATTTTTTCATGTGTCAGTTGGCCATCTGGATGTCTTCATTGGAAAAGTGTCTATTCATGTCTTTTGCCCATTTCTTCACTGGATTATTTGTTTTTTGGGTGTTGAGTTTGATAACTTCTTTATAGATTTTGGATGCCAACCCTTTATCTGATATGTCATTTGCAAATATCTTCTCCCATTCTGTCGGTTACCTTTTAGTTTTGCTGATTGTTTCCTTCACTGGGCAGAAGCTTTTTATTTTGATGAGGTCCCAGTGGTTCATTTTTGTTAAACTTTATTTTTGAGAGAGAGTGTGAGCAGGGGAGGGACAGACAGAGGGGGAAAGAGGATCTGAAGTGGGCTCTGCCCTGACAGCAGAGAGCTGGATATATGGGGCCCAAACTCACAAACCGTGAGGTCATCACCTCAGCTGAAGCTGGAAGCTCAACCAGCTGAGCCACCCAGGTGTCTTGGTAGCCTGTGGTTTGGGAAGGTTTGGAAGGATTCTCCTGTGAAACCATCTGGGCCTGGTCTCTCTTTGTGAGGTGGCTCCTGCTAAGTTTTTCTGTTTCTTCTGCAGAAATTGATCTGCTTAAGCTTTCTCATTTCACAGGGCCAAGTTTGGTAAACTGCACTTTCCTAGGAAATCCTTTCATTTCAGGATTTCAAACTTACTTAGGTCTGCAAAATTGTTTTTGTCTGCAGCCTTCTAAAAAGTTCCAGTGGTTATTTTTCCCTGTCATTTTCCCATCTTGCCTGTCTTCTGTCTCAGTCCTGTCTTACATTTTTTATCTCATTCATTCTTTGGTGATTTTCTTCTTGAAGTACTTCTTTTGCATCCAAATCTCTTCTTCCTTGGGCACCTAGTAACTGAGTCTTCATTTTAATATTTTGACCTTTGGTGTTTGGTGTTTGTTTTTTTTAAGATTTTATTTTTAAGTAATCTCTGTGCCCAACGTGGGGCTCAAACTCACAACTCTGAGATCGAGTGTTACATGCTCTACCACCTCAGGCCAGCCAGGTGCCCCACTGACCTTAGTTTTCCACTTACTTCCTGGGTTCAGTTTTCCTTTCTCATAGTTGTGTGCACATGCCTGTGTCTTTTTGGTCTCAGTTTTGGATTTCTAAGTCAGGGTGCTTTTCCCTATCCTCTGATGCTTGTTTAAGGAGGTATCCGCCTCTGGGGCACCTGGGTGGCTCAGTCTATAGAGCATCCAACTCTTGATCCCAGGGTTGCCCCGTGTTGTGTGGAGAGCCTACTGAAACAAATTATCCACTCAGAGTGTCACAGAGAGTGTTAGAGTTTTCTTACCTCCTCCTTTATGTCGGTGGTTTGGGGGAACTAGCGTCTTCAATCGCTGGTGTCCAGCCTGTCTCTGCCTCCTCCCTGGAGTAGTTGTGTTCATGGATCGCTGGAGCACTTCACCTACAGGGCTTGGCGGCCCGGTTGCAGTGAGGGCCCTGCTTCGGGACTCCCTCCTCCCCAGTGTCTCGAGAGGAGTCCTTACTGGATGGGTTTGGTTTGTTTCTTGTGGGTTTTCTTTGGACAGGGATGTAGTTAGGCCAAGCCTGTGTGTCCTTGATACGTTTTTGTCTTGTCAGATCCTGAACTTCACCTGCTCGCTTTTTCTGTTCACTGTTCAGTTTCCAAAAGGTGCCTTCCAGGAGTGGGGCCGTTCTGCCCCCTCATGTCCCACGTGCATTTTCAAGTTGGTTCTCCAGGGCTGTGCTTCCCCTCCGCCGGGACTCTTCAGTATTCCTGCCACAGAATGGACTTTTTCTGGGGGCAGCGTTGGCACTTCTCTCTCTTGTATGTGGTATTCTTCTAGATCTACTTGCTCCCTGCGGAGACCAGGTCTGCATGAGCAGGAAGTCTCTGCGGGAAGAGAAGTGGGTGTGTCTCCTCTGGGCCGGAGCAAGGAAAAGGGGTCAGCGGTGCTCCCTGCCGTCCTATTCTGTGGCAGCGTGGGGATCGCTTGGCTCTGTCTGTAGTCCTTGGTGATTTGTCAGCTTTGAGAGGACGTGTTGGGGGCAGGTGCAGATTCACAGATCCGCCCTTGGCCTTGCTTGTCCCTCCTCTCTCGTCCTTTTATTCCTTCTAACTCCTCCATCTACTGACTGGGTGGGACCATAGTCTCCAGGTGGCATCGAACCCAGAAGGCAGGGAGTGAGCTGAGTCGGGGAGAGAGACGATGGCCCGCCTGGGGTCCCTGGTCACGTTTGGATCCTGAGTCAGTAACTCCCTTGCTTGAAGGCCATCGCTGCCCCGTTCATGCCAGACTGCACTGCTCCCCTCCCACCGCCTGGCTCGGTCTGGCTCCCTTCCTGGCCTCGGATCATTTGTGATGAACTCCAGCTCCCGGGGCGGTTGCGGGGGGTGGGGGTGGGGGGGTTCCTGCAGCAGCTGAGCCCCAGCATACCAGCCCAAGAGTGAAGTCTTACCAGATGGCAACCTTATGCTGATACATTCATGAGTTTTGCCTTGCAGGTGTGATGAGATCCGGAAAACTGGAGAGCTGTAAGATGGCTGTGAGCGCACTGAGCCCTCGAGCTCTGACGGGCGGTGATGCGCGGTCCTTCCCCACACCTGGCACACACGGCTGCCATGTGCCACTTGCTTCCCCAAAGTGCAGGTTGAGAATATACAGTTGCGAAGTTGTGAGTGATTTTGCCATAGGTCTGTGAAGAGACGCTTGTTAAGAAATTCTGGAAACCTGGACAAAAAGGAATAAGAACTAAGACTCCCTCATCGTGACAAACTTGTTCAGTTCAGACTCTTGCTTTAGCAAGCTTGCTTTCTGCCCAGATGTCCCCGTGGCCCATCTGAGCAGTGGACTGGCCCATTGTGGTATTTCTTTCAAGGGACATCGTGGGAAACACACTTTTTTTTCTTCTTAATTTGTGAAGATCAATAATGATGATTTTCTTCCAGTGCGTACCATGAGGATTCATCAGTTAGTCCATCACTGAACAAAATGTCTTAATTCTGGTGTTTGACCCACAGAAAAATTTGAAGATCTAAGCTCTTCAGATGAATCCTGCCCTGTTCCCCAGAGACAGAGGCCCTGTCGGAAGAAGGGCCTCAGCATCCATGAGGGGCCGCGAGCCTTGGCCAGGATCACAGCCATCGGCCTCGGAGGCAAGATGCAGCAGGCTTGCTGTGGTGAGCGCTCCCACTTCCTGATGGCTCTGTGGCGGTGCCTCCTGAGAGGCCGGCCTGACCGGAAGGGACCGTTCTCAGCCTTCTGAGATGTGGGCCACCGGTGGGTGCTGCAGCTCCAGGACTCAAGATTGATTACAGTGATAGAAAGACATTAATCTCTAGCTAGTTTCTGGGTTTTGGTTCATCCTTTGATTTTCCTTTCCACTGGTTACAATTACAAATAGAACTTTCTCTTCAGCAGTGGAAATATAGCAGAGCTGGGATTTCATTCATCACGTGGTGGGACAGCTAGTACCAGGAAAATGTTCAAGTCCAGTATCTGCCCCATCGCCAGCCAGAGCTGGACCAGCTCTTGCTCTCTTTTCTCAGAGTGCTGGATTTGAGAATTGTCGGATGGTGGGTGCACCTGGTGGGCTAGAACCCGAGCCCTGAGTTTATTCACGAATTGTCAGCTCCTCAGGTTGAGCTCAGTGCTCTCGAGGAATGCAGGGGGTGCTCGTGCTCTTGTTCTGGCCCCAGTGATCAGACTCCGTGTAAGTGACATCTTCTAGTTACATCTTCCTTTTTTTAAAGTTTATTTATTTTGAGAGAGAGAGCACATGCGAGCAGGGGAGGAGCAGAGAGGGGAAGAGAGAGCGAGAATCGCAAGCAGTCTCTGAGTTGTCAGCTGGAGCCTGGCTCAGGGCTCAGTCCCACAAACTGTGAGATCATGACCTGAGCCGGAACAAAGCATTAGCCGCTTAACCTGCTGAGCCATCCAGGCACCCTGGTGTGTTACATCTTCTTTGGCATCTGTCACCCGCAGTGGCCAGGCCAAGCCTGCTGGTCCATCAGCCTGGGTGGATGGGCTCCTCTCATGAGTGATCACCCCCAGGCTTGGAGACGAACTTTTCCAGTCACAGGAGACCATGTTTCAGTGAAGAGTATACAGTAGCTTGATTCCCTTCTCTGCCCCTTAGAGAGGAGTCTTGGCGCTGGTCTGGGAGCTCCAGGCCCACCTTCTCCTGTTACCCACGGAGGGGTAAGCTGACTGGGCCACTGGGGAAGCCACCCCCCAGCTGTGGACAGGTTGCTACAGGATGAGAGCACGCCTCCTCTCTCCTAGAGCGGTGCTTTTACAAGCACAGAGCTCTGGGGCATTTGGCTGGGCCGTTGTCCTTGAGTGGCAGAGTGTGTGTCTTCTGAGGAGTCCGTGCTACCTGTCCCACCTGAGGTATGGTGGGGACATAGGAAGGACAGGTCTTATCTCAGGCGGGGGGTGGCAGTTAATCTGTGTTGCCATATAACACATGCTTTTTAAAATGGAATTTGTTCCAGATACCAGAATAATCTGGCCAGAGCCCATTTATACACAGGTCTTTTTTTATGCACCCAGAGAGGCAGAAGAACCTTCACCAAAGAGCAATGCTAGTTGTCCCTTGGTTGTGCCATTTCCTAGTTTTGGTTTACCTCTTACACTTTGTCCTTTTTTTTTTTTTTTT